TTTAATCCTGAGGTTCATCTGCCGGGGCCAAGCACGCTTGGACGGTGGCAGTGAGGTCCTCAGGACGTAGATGGATTGCCTTACGGGCTAACGAGCTCCATCTGCCCGGGGAGGGGCCCCGACCGGGAATCGAACCCGGATCTCTGCAGTGACAGTGCAGTGAATTTTCCCCTGGACCACCGGGGGCTGTACTGACTGCAGGGCTTTGCTGCTCATCTTAAGCAGGGACATCATATTCACAGTGGCCTAACTTAGAGGCGGGGCAGGTGAGGCGTTCTGTGGCAGGCAGCGAGGATAACAGGCTGGTATTTGCACTCAGGCTTGTGTTACACTAAAATGCAGCTCCTGTGAACCTTGTCAGGCTTGCTTGATGCAGAGTGCAGGGAAGGGTAGTACAGGTTGTTGAGGATTGTGTGTCTGTGCAACTGAGCTCTGGGATTCTTCTGCTGCTCCTGCAGCTCTTCATAGTTCCCAGATCTGTTGCAGCTCTTAGAGCCTTACACAAACCACTTCTGTCATAGAAATGCAAAACGTGCCCAAATTGCTGTTTCTCAGCCTATCTGTTAATTGCCCAGCAGCAAAATCACGCTGTGCCCCTCTGCAGCCCAAAGCACGGCAGCTGGCAGAATAAGAAAGATTTCTAATTCCATGAGAAACTTCACAGAAGCTGAGTGCTAGTTTCTTTTTTCATCTCTTCGGTACCAGCCTCTCAAGACACAGCAGGGACAAAAGGAATGAAATCCTGTAGCAGGAGTGTTTGTCAACTTTCTTCTTGTCTCTCTCTCCATAACGACATGTAATTAAATACCTTGAACTTTAGAAGTTGCCTGTGAAAAATATTCCTCTAACTGAGAGCAACCAACCTCCATTAAGTTATACACAGTCAGCAAATGACTGTAATTATTAGGGCCAGTAGACAGAGCTTAAACTCCAGAGGACTTTAGTGTCAGAGCTAATAATTATGCAGCAGCCTTGGCCAAATATTTCTCTTCTGAGCTAAGTATTTAATATTGTCGCTGTAGAATATTAATGGAATTGCCTGCAATGTGTGAAGCTGTTGACTAAGCTCGTTGTACAGTGAACTGCTGTGGCTCAAATTAGCCACAGTGAAGGGAGGGAGGAATCAAGAGCACTGCAGCACCAGCCTAAACACTGCGGCCCTCGGGGCGCTGCCATCGGATCCGGGGACAAACTGCAGGGCGAGGCAGTGCTTCAGGAATTCAGAAAGTCAGTTTTTTGGCATTCTGAAGGGTACTTTTTCTTTAGGTCTTTTTGTGAAGCATGTGAATATATTCCTTAAACCTAATGAAGGAGATTGGCTGGTTCAGGAAACATCTCTTCTTTCA